GAAATATAATTTAAAATGGCCACATTACATTGAATTTGATGCAATATATTAGCAAAAGTACAGGAAAAATAAATAATACTTTTTTTTAAATAATGCAATGAAATTATTTAGGGGGGGCTAAAGACATTTTTAGGGAGGCTGAAGCCTCCCTAAAATAGGCCTAATGACGCCCATGCCAGTCACAATGATGTCACAGAGAAGACCATGATTATCTTCTTACTGATTGTACAGTAGTCTTGAATAGAATCAAATCAGTTATTGTATATTTGTAATTATAGAGGTGATTTAATAACAAAAATGTGTGTGTGTGTGTGTCTGTGTATATGCATCTATTTTTCCATTTGCTGTGTCACCATGAATAAACATGAAAAATGTCTGTCACAACCAACTCACTTCTTCTCACTGCTTTGTCTTTGAATCATCAAATCCAAGACTCAGAAGGAACGCTTCAGACCTCGTCACAGAATCATTTTGATTCACAAAATATGTAATGATGGTCTAATTTAGTGTTTTTCAAACCCTGTGCCGTGGGAAATTATACAATATGTATGCCTGTGCGGTCGCTCGCCTGGAAGCGTAATCGTGTAGTACTCTTCCATAGCGGTAGGGAGAAGCAGCAGCTAGGACACGGCCTTATGCTTCGAGACAAGCGAAGTTTCCGACGCCAGACAATACAATGAAAGGTATCTTTCGTTTAGATTTACGTTTACCGGAGATGCAACGGCACCAACCCTCTAAGATGCGCAACTGCGCAATGGTCGCACACTCTCAGCGCACAAGAAAATCTATCCGGGGCAGTGAACGCACTGCAAATGAATAGATATATAACTTTTTTCTCTATCAATTTGCTGTGTAATTCAGTGAGTGACAGGTGTCCAGCCAATCACACGACACGATGCAATGACGCTATGCAGCCAATCACGGCATTGACAGTACTTTCGCATGTTCTCCGCTCCATAACAATAATAGTGCAGCGGCGATAAGTGATGCAAATGGTAATCCCCTATCATTGCAAAACGACCGTGTAGTGAATGTGATACGCCGACTCCCTAAACCAAAATAAGAATGAACTGTGGTTCTTTTAAACTTGAATGGCTGTCGGAGGATGTGAAAATAGAAGAACAAACAGTGAAACTGGGTGAGATCTTTTCTTTTCGAGTGCAAAACATGCAGCAAAGCTAAAGTTGTAAGCGAAAAATGTGGACTAAATGGAAGCTGGACAATTGTACCTCAAGCGACACATTCAGCAAAAAAGTCATTTTAATGATGTTGGAATTATACAAAGACTCAAGATGGGAAAAGGGATTGGTACAATATTGCGGGAGAGCGCAAACGACTGGGACAAAAAGAACCGGCTGCCACACAGAAAAAAATCCGACCCTGAGCAAGTTAAAGTTCTAATCGACTACGTTTTACTTGCCATTAAAACGAATGCACCAGATATTGGATTGATGTTGATTTGATTCCTATTCAATGTGTTACAATTAGTGATGGGACGAAATGGGCCGAGGCTCCGAAGCTTGTGTCGAGTAATGGCAGGGGCGTTTCCACGAAGCTTGTGTAAGCTTTTGTTGAATTGTTAATTATTGTCATTTTATATTGAAGCATTATATTCTTTTATGTTAGTTACTTTAATTACAATCTGTTTAATACTTCCTGAAATATTCTTATGTTGCTTACATGTGATTGGGGAAGAAAAGCAGGAAGGAGGGGTCGTTACCGGAAGGGTGAGTGTTCGTTCGAGAGTTACGAGGCAGCCGTTGGAGAAATAAAGAGAAGAGCTGTGTTCAAACGAAGTCGTCCTCCGCTTTTTGTCCATTCTAAACGAAGAGCCAATCCATCTAAAACCTACGAACCCCTCGACTTACACTTGTATCGAGGCGCACGTCATTTCGGCAGAACCCGGAAATGATTACGTGTGAAGCCTCGCCGGCCGGCTGAATCGCTCCATTGATTTGATTGCTTAATGTCAAAAAATTACCACACTCATAACGCTGTGACAATAAACAAATGAATCTGTGGTAACCATTCCCAAAGCGCTAGTTGCCTAACTTAGTTCACAGTGTTGCAGGAATGAGACCGTTTACCAATAAACCGGGATATGGGTAGTATTGTATTTGCAACGAGGAATTGCCTCTTTGCTCCCTGTTTGTGCGATTTCCAGTTTCATAATGCAAATAGCATCAGTGTACTGTACAAAAGATTCACTGTAAAAACAAACAAAAAAACTGAACTTTACCAGGAATTGAAGTGGAAAACACTTAAAATATTGAAATAAAATATAAATTACCGACATATATGACAACAATGTTGTCACACCAAAGCAAGCAAGCTGTTTTTACTTTTATCTTTTAGTCAAGGTTAAATAAAAAGGACAAACTTTTTGAAAAGTCTTTCTTTGATGTGAAATGCAGGTGAAGTTAATTAACACAATAGCAAACCTTCAAAACATTTAGTTGAATTGTCCAATTTGTTGCCTTGAAATTTTGAGTTCATCCAGTTTTTTTTGGGGGGGGGGGCACAAGTGACAAACAAGCTGTTGAATTGTAGCAATTGCAGTGAGTCGTGAGAACAACAGCTTTTTCTACCATATTCGCTTGTCATTTATCACTAAATGTTTGTTAAAAAACAAACCTTGCAAGACAATAGCTCAAATCCAACAAGAGGCAAGTTCAATCTACTGTATTTCTTTGGAAACATTTGCAACCTAACATTAGTTGGTATGAGTTAGTACTGACATCCTCACGAGTAATTTCGAACAATGCTGCAGGTGAAATGAGGTTTTGCTGTAAGAATCAGCACACAAATGAAATAAAACACAGGATTTAAATTTATTTGCTTTCAAGTGATACATCTATGTAGAAGATTTCATGGCCTTGCATGATACGCACGGTACACTTTCACCAGTAGAAGATTCTTTGTTAGCAGTTATTCTTTTTTTTTTTTTTTTTTTTACATTCTGCAAGATATGTGAAGTATAAGACCTAACAGGTCAGTATACTGTGTGAGTAACCCAATAAAGCTTCACCTTTCAAAGAAACATTACATTAATATTAACTTAGAACTCAATACTTTGGGGTCTTACTGAAAAGTTGTGTACATTAGATCAAAGCGGAATACTTGATTTATAAGCCCTGTATCCCACTGAGCGGCGAAGGCTTGGGAGCGTTTGTGAGCGTCGTTGAATGTTGATTGTAGCCAAGAAATTTGGGAATGGTGTTCAAAACTTCCTTGCAACAAGAAAGACTGTTTGCGACCATTCAACCTGTTGGCAAATGTCTGGCGAACGTCTTTGTGACCATTTGCGACCTATTCACGATGTTCGCCGCTGAGTGGGATCCAGGCTTTGGGAACTCTTACTCACTAATGTTGCATGGCTTGACTGTGTTTGCATTTTCGCACACATACAGTACATATCTTCAAGTCTGCCCAAACGAGTGCAAACAACTCATCAAATGAAATCAAGGGACATTTTTTTCACAAAGAGAGGATATTCTTTCATTGAAGCTTCACCCACCCATGACTCAAGTGCCAGAAACAAAGCATTGGGTCTAGAACAGCACCAGTTGAAACGAGAGGAGGCTCTGGGTCACATACAGTATGAACATACCTGCAAAAAGAATGTAAGCATTGTATATACAGTATATGAGGAAAAAATATCTCTAAAATCTGTGGCTTGACTGTTTTCCCTTTTATTTTTTTTAAGCAAACAAACAAACAAATATTGCACATATAAGTGGCCCAACTCCTCCTCCATTGTTACTTCTAGTAAAAGGTAAAAGCGAGTCTTAAAGGGTTCTTTGGGTGCCAATGAAGATTAAGTGAAGGTGGTCAGCGCAAAAGTGTGAGCCAAGCTACGGGAAAACTTCACAGACAGCAGGAAATCACAGCGACTATTACGTGGCTCCCACCCTAGCTTTTAAAAAGGAACCTGCAGGAGGCAAATCAACCAGAAGTTGACTGCTAAGCCTTGTCAGACGTGTGGTAGTGGCAGCGCTCCAAATGTGAACATCAGTCTATTGTGTCTCCATTCAACATATTACAGTCATTTAACAAGCTTTTTTTTTTTTTCTTAAACACAGTAGTCACAATTTTTTGAGGGGGACGGGGGGGGGAAGGGAGAAAAAGCGCGCGCGCGCGCGCGCGCACACACACACACACACACACACACACACACACACACACACACACACACACACACACAAACACACTCGTCTGCATACTGTAAAATTAACAGTAGATGGAGACACATGTACAGCGTGCGTAAAGCAACAGAAAGACCTAAAAATGGGTTTGACAATAAAGCAGCAGTTTCGGCTGCTGTATTTCCTTGAAATACAGAAATATTTCACTCCTTAATAAAAGTCCAGAGTCAGTGAGTGTGCCCAACGGCTCCTCTGCTTCTTGGGCAAAAATGTCCTCTTTTGTTTAAACGGACCCGCGATCCTCGTGAGGAAAAGTGGATTAGAAAATGGATGGATGGATGGATGGTTGAACTGGTTTGTCTTGATACAGTTCCTGAATGTGCTTCCATCCAGAATGGGGGAGGACTGTGGTGCCGGAACGAGGCGCCTTGTGTCGTGCTGTTCTGTACGTCCCCTAATTTGGTTTCGGTGGGAGCAAATGTCCTAGCTGCCATCATGTCAACTAACACCTATTAGGCCTACGGCACAAAAAGCATTCTATCTTCATTTTCAATCTGTTTCATTCACTAATGATAATACAGGACACTGTCACTGAGAGAGAACAAAATACTTTTCCATATCTTTGGGCTTCACCAAAGTTTTGTGAACATTTCGTAAGACATCACATTTCTGCTCAAAGTATAAAATACCCCCCCCCCCCCAACCACTAGAAGCAGTGTACCCCACTTCATATCTTGACTTCAAAATGGGGATGCTGGGGCTACAGAATTCATGCTTCAACGTATCCATTGACACACACGTTAACAGCAAACAAACACGGGGAAAAAAACCAACTGAATAAGGCTAAACCTTCATCTTACCAAATTCAATTTATCATATTGATCTATCCTGTATAACTGCGACATGAATAAGCATGGACTTCAGTGTACAGCAAAAATGTCAACAACTGCAAAATGTCTCCATTCCATCGCCAGGCGCTATGAGACATCTAGAATATCCCTTTAATAAATAATATCCCCCAAAGATTGTTTTTTTCTCTTTTTCCCCAAAGAGCTTTTGCTAGCAGAATGGTCTCCTTTTGTTTTTCACCACCTACCGTATCTACTTCCTTTCAGCATGCACACAGAAGATGGACAGGCGCTTTCGGGGGAGGAGACTGACAAAGGGATGGACGGGACAGCAAAGCGAGGTGGAGCGGGATGGCGGGGAAGCGTCGGGGTGGGGGGACTTTTAGGCGCGGCTTCTATGGCCTATCCGTTAGTGCCGTTCTTGTTGGCTGCACTGGTATTGACGGCGGTGCCGTCCGGCTGCTGGCCGTCTTTGCGAGGTGGCATCCTTTCGTTTATCCTGTCCAGGCCACGTGCCTCCTCGAAATTACGAATCTTCCTCGTAGGAGAGAAGCCTTGGATGGCTGAAGGGCAAAAATAAAAGAAAACAAAACAAAATGACTAAAAGCCACAATCATGCCATGAAGAAAGCTACTTGAGTGGCTGCTGTCTCTGTTGTGCACCATGCTATTCTGCTGTCCTTGTAGATTTTTTTATTTGTTATTTTTTTATGACACAGTATCAGCCTAACACAGCACAAATGGACAGTGAATACAACACATGCACAATAACTTGGGAGTGTCCAAAAACCTACGACATTTAAACGTCTCATGCTCGGTTGACTTACGGTCGTGTTCCCGAAACAGCCATGGAAACCAGGCAGAAAAGGTGAGCAAACGAAAAATAAACTTGTGAGGGAATGTTTGACAAATGATTGAGTCATTCCTACACTAGCAAGTTAAAACGGCAACAAACACTGGAGGAGTTATCGAAAAACATGCTGAGTATCAAATATTCAACAGTTCTCTTGCACGATCAGATGTCTGTCACCTTGTGAGATGTTATGTCACTAATCGGTGTACTGATGCATGTCAACATATCTACAGGATGTTTACTTTGAAAACGGGACTTTTTTTTTTGTCATGATCATTTTCTTTGTTTGACTGTTTAAGAGTGTGGGGTCGAAATATTGTTCCTGGGGGCTCAAACACATCTTGTCACTCCATCAACCAACCAATCAATCAGAAGACCCTCTAGTTTTCTCAATTCTTAAGCTCACCAAGACCTTTTGGACAATTCTATGCGACCAACATTGTGGGAAAAGTTTCTCAAAGTGTTCCCGCTTGACTGTGCCCCAGTGCACAAAGCAGGATCCTTTAATGAGTTTGGAGTGGAAGAATCTCGCTTAAAATCCGTCTGGCAACTTATGGATCAATAACAGAGTAACCGCCGCCCCCCGCGCCATCCCCAAAATAAATAAAAGAAAAACATCAAATTGAAATGAAGCTAATTCAGTTTGCTTGTGAAACAGTTTGCTTTCCTGGAGGGAAGTTACATCAAAGTACCGTATTGGCCCGAATATAAGACGGTGATTTTTGCATTGAAATAAGACTGAAAAAGTGGGGGTCGTCTCATATTCGGGGTCTAGACACTATACCCATGCGCGACGCTAGATGGCGCCAGATATCATTGAAGCGAATGCTGAACTTGACTCCCCAGGCCAAAGTGAACCCCTGTCACGAAGAATAAAAATAAAAATAGCGGTAAGAAAATAATAGAAGAGATAACAGAAAATGGAGAAACGTAGCGACAATCTAGAGAAAAGTGGGTCGAAGATTTGCCAGGTTAACTGGCAGCTGAGGTGAAGTTATGATGTAATTTACATTTCAAAAACCAGAAGGCATTCATTTACAAATGTGATTGCACTTTAGTTTACCCATTTAAATGTTCAGATATTAAGATCTGAATAAGGCAAAATAACATGCTTTTTCTCTCAAATGTATACTTATAATCATTTGTTTCAGATGTACTGTACTGTAATTATTTTCTATATACAAATTAATTTGGTGTTCAAAAAGTCTTTTTTCAAACTTCGAGTCTTGAAAAAGAGGGGGTCGTCTTATAATCAGGGCCGTCTTATATTCGGGCCAATACGGTAATTGTCTGTAGAAGCATCCCGAAATGAATAGAAACAAACAATGGAGTGATGGAGAGTTCAATCAAAATAAATAAATATAAAATATGAAAGCAATTACGTAAATATGATCAATCTCAGTTACTTAAAAAACAAGAACTTCTTACTTTTTACATTTGTACGAGTAGCCCGTGTATTTTAACCCTTAATTCGAGTTTTTTTTTCTTTTCAATAAAATATTCAGTTTATCAGTTATTACCAGTGCTTCAAAAGGCTGTAGCTCAAAAATAAATGCAGATTAAGGCACACGATGTTATTTGGGAAGCACTTTTGCTACTGCGGGGAAAAAAAGACCACAGAGTCCAGAGTGGGAATGGCAATCTAGGCGACAAAGCATTTTAAAACCACTAAATAAGCTAGTTTACATCAAGTGATGGCTTGAACCTAGGTGCCGATGCATTTGGTTGGAAATCACCAGAATGAATATCACCTTGTCTTTTCCGTAATGTGTGTTTGACCTTGCAGGAATGGAGCTTATTAGCCCACAAACCAACCAGGAGGGGCAGACAATCGAGCAACACCCAAATGGTGTAACAGGATTAGCTGCTGAAAATATCCCGGGAAGGGATGTCCCAGGTCTAAGCAAGGTCTTAACAGGCTTTTTCTCTGTGTTGGGAGCCACTGTAGGCAAGAAACCCCCCAACATGATCACACAGAAGTACAGTTCCAACTACAACCACGATAAGAAACTTTCTCCCATCACTAAACTTAATTTGTAAAGGTAGTTTGCAGATCTGAACCCTTTCAGGCACAGCGGTCACTCCAGTGGACGGTTTACCATGTTATCAGGTTACAGGGTGCATGAAAGGATGAACGTCATTTTAAATTTATTCTGTTCATTAGAGTCCCTTTCTTGTCCACTGAGTATACATTTCTTGAAAAACAAGTCTTTTGCTCTGGACTTTGCAACAGTGCAACTACTGTTTGTCTAAGTTTGATATTAGAAAAACAGAAGCTAAAAAGACACTGATAGTGCAAGAGTAACCGGCAATTACAGTCTCCACAATACTGCGATTGTATGTACAACTGTTAATGTGAATAAGAACAGAGAGGACACAAACACGATAATTGAACCCAAAAGCCATGCGTACCTTTTGCTTTAGCTGCCTCAATAGTAGCTATGTTAAATTGGAGTTGGGGGCAGGGCGGGGGGAAGAAGGAAAAAGGGGAGACGTTACAATGCAGCAAACAACACAGCCAGCAAATACGTCATTCAAGTCAAGCCTCGATGTCATTAACAGTCGTCAGCTGATGGCGAAAACGTAGAGGGTAGGTCAAGTTGGTCAACCGCAATGTCACAGACAATGTTTTGGCCTTTTACCGGCAGCGAAAAATATGCATGAAAACATCGTGTTGGGTGAATGGCTGGGAATGAGAGAGGAGGTGCTGGTTCGAGATTTAAGAGTCTGCAGCCAGTGTTAAAGGGTCTTGAAAGAGGATTTAGAAATAGAGAGGAGGGGCGTTGGCTGAGCACTAAGGGCCTTATTTACTAAGATCTCCAACAGCCGCTAAATTGCATGTTTGCCAACTCTTAACACAATTGCATGGACTGTTGGGGGCAGGTATGAAAGTGTTGGGGACTGCCATATTTTTCAAGAGGGTATTGCTCCAGCTACACCGTCTGACGGTTTTCAGCAGGGAAAAAAATGGGAGAGCACCATAGGTGTAACATGAAGTTGGAAATGATGCAAATGGAAGTGTTAGTAGATGAGAAAAACGATTGCTCGGATAGTTTGGGGGAAGCCAGCAATTGCATAAAACCCAGGTTTTGTTTTCTTTATCTTGCCCTGAGGGTGTGCCAATTGGATGTGCCAACCAATCTTGAGCAGATTGAGATTAAAATTTGGGAGAGAATACTCAAAAAGGGAGTTCTGTCATGGGTGAGATGCCATGACTCCTTGTGACTGGCTCCAAGGCAGCCCTTAGATAATACTGAAGCTCCAAAATTGCATTTCTCATGAGAAGGTATATACATTTTTGTTTCTAGCAGTGAAGAAAATGTTTTGTTTTTTTTTTTCCTCCCTCTCGCCACCATGCATAACATTTAGCACCTGTACTTAAAGACTCAAAAGCAGCCATCGTAATTTGTCTCGGTTCGATAAATCACATCGTGTGTGTGCTACATTGATCTTCGTTACATTAACTCCTCTCAGAATGCGGAAAATGAAATGCACAGCAATACGGACACGATTGGGCAGACACGATCCTTAGTATCGTAGATCATCTTCCACATCTGTTAGTGTGGGCCATCGACTGCATGCACAAACATCAAGTAAGTTAGGCCCAAGAGGGAGACTGGGAAATGCACAAAAGTGATGAGGCAGGATGACACATCTGCGCGGCACATTCTCACAGGACAAAAACAAAACTCCGCCACACATGCTGCCCTGTATTTGTTTAGATGCGCAAACATAATCTTCATTCTCTCAATGTACACCATGTCGTGATTTTGCATTCAAGGTGTGCGCAGAGCTCACGCTAACATTTGAACAAATGTGACACAAGGCCGGCGTTGACCTAGGAAACATTTTAGATCAATTTAGTGTACTCAAATGAACAAATAAACATGCTAGTACAAATCAATGGAGGTGAACAATTTGTGGCTGATCCAGATTTTTGGCAGTGGGCTGCAATCTACTGCCATTTGTCTGATATTTTAACCCTTTCAAGGACAGCGGTTACTACAGTGGGCAGCCTATCATGTTATCAGGTTACAGGTTATCATTCTTGGTGCATGAAAGAGTCAATGTTTTATTTTAATTTGTCTTTTATTTTAGCTCGGTGAGCTTTTTATATTTCTCGAAGAGTGATTAGGTTAGAAACCACTCCTTGATCTGTCAGGAAGGAAAAATTCACCATCAATGGCCTACAAAGTTGACCCCAGACTGGCTGGTCTGGAAGTGGAGGCAAAAGGGGCGGACATGAACAATGACATTCTCCCTAAAGGTCATAACGTGGTTTCCCTTCTGATGGCTCCATAACTTCTGTAAGTCTCCAGCGTGGCACCCAACGTGTTCTGAGGCCAGGCACTGACCTTTAGATCAGAGGGTCAGCAGCCTTTTCTCGGCTATAAGTTGACAGGTTGGCCTTGACAATGCGGGGGGTGCTTCTTGTGATGAGCATGCTGGCATTGATCCAAAGCCCTTTTAAAGCTACTGGCATAACAGCAAAGCGGTGGTGACTTCACTCATGATCTGTATCCCACGGCACTAGTCACCCTCCACGTGGGATTTGAAACCATAAATATGGCTTGTTAATAAGCCAGTTATTAATTTCCCACATTTCCAAAAATCTAAAATGACCGTACGCTATGTTCAGTCATAATAAACCTGCCTTCTCGACCAATCATTCTGGAGGCAAAAAGTATGGATCTCAAACACAACACGGGTTCTTACAGCGAACAAAAATCCAAGCTTGGTGAGGGAATGTTCCTGGGAATTCATGTATGGTCACCCAAAATGCATGAAGCTCGTAGGAAGGAAGAAAGGAGACTGGTGATAAAAGCTCACTTACCGGTCTGTAATGTCTGCTTTCCACCGGACAGTACTCCCATGGGAAGAGTTCCGGTGGGGGTGAGACCCTTGAGAGTTAATACACTCTCACTCTCCTCCCTGGACCACAACACAAGCAAAGCACACAGGTGCAAATGCATCACATTTTGGCAACAGCGGGGGGGACTTATACCTAATGGATTTCATTGTTATTATCTATCCTTCCATCCATTACCTAAAGCCTTAAGGCAGGGGTGTCAAAGTCAAATGGACGGAGGGCCAGATAAAAAATTTTGCTGCAAGTCGAGGGCCGGACTGATCGAATGTTCATTGAAAATTTTAAAAATGACCACATATTGTTTATTGAACCAAATTTAATTGACTGAAAACCTAACAAATACATTCCAATATGGTCAGATAAATAAAGCAACATTTTTTTATGGCTATGTCAGTAAACTTTAATTTTCAACAGGCACAAAAAAATTTCCTTTGTGTAAAAATACCCATAACATGAATGAAAGAAGCCGATATTATTCAAGGCACACATTTTCTCTTTTAGCAAAAGTAGGCTAAATTTACTTAAAAGAAAAACAAATAATAGTGCAGTAATTTTCGATCATTTACTCGAATAAAATATTTTTAAAACAGCGGGGGGGACTTATACCTAATGGATTTCATTGTTATTATCTATCCTTCCATCCATTACCTAAAGCCTTAAGGGCTCAAATGTTTTTCCTGTCGCTAACCAACCTGCATTCATACTCTTAGTTTAAAGAAAGATACAACCAAGCTGACGCAAAACAAAACAGGAGTTCTTCAGAGAGAAGTCAGAAAGGGGGTCAGCGGTTCATACCTGAGGACTGAGAAGACCCGGGCCATTTTCCCGACTGCACGGATCTTGTTCCGGATTACCTCCTTACGCATCGCTGTGGTGCCACCTGGATGACACAACATATCACTGAGAAACCAACCATTGTCTTCAAGAATTGCCCCACTGGAAGTTCTTTAATTGGTGGATGATTGCAGACACTGACAGGTTTCTTGCTTGCAGATAAAGAAACATATCTTTCTGTGTGCATGCCTGCAAATGCCCAATTGTTTTGAATAGGCCGTGCCAAGTACGCACTGGGCCCGGAATTCGGCCCAGGAATTAGCGATGGAGAGGTCACTGGTATGTGCGACTTAAGGCCCCAATTTTTTTGCTTCTCCTGCTGCATGACAAGGCCCCAAATACAAACCAATGGGTGGTGATGGTGATATTTTTGGGCTCATCATTTTTTGCAAATATTTCTTCTTTAAAGAAGGGGGAATTGGAATGGGAGTAAATTCTAAATACATTTAATACAGACAATGTAGCCAATATAAGCAACATTTATCATAAAATTTCACATATCGTATCGATAGATTCACTGCCAATAGTAAGGATGGCAACTGGGGTGGCAAAGCATTTGGTAAAGGTGGCAGCTGCCACCCCTTGTCACACTGTCAAACCGGTTGTGATGTATGCTGAGTTGCGGAGGGCGAACATTTGAGAAATTAATAGCTGCACCCTTACCTTCATATAGATCATCTCCCTCTGACATGAGCTCATCATCAGAGCAAATGTTGAGCACATTCACCAACATCTCTGTCACTATAGATGGAAAAAATTACAGGCAATTAAATAGTCACTTTGCAAGTCCCTTTCACACAGCTCAATATATAGGATTCAAAGAAAAACAGGAAATGGGGAAAAATGAAGCCAACCGAAATAAGGTACAAATTATCAATGTCATTCAAGACAAAACACTGACAGACTCTCTGGGATAAGGAATAATGTATGGTAAATAGCCCTTGAATAAAACATGTACAGTGTGGCCGCGCATATTTTCAAGTTGGCAAACCGGTGGATTCCCAGAGTGGTTGTTTTCTTTTTTTTTTCCAATATTGTAAAATATATTTTTTTCAAGATTTTACATTTCATTTCTGGGCGGTTTTGGGGGAGCCAAGCCCTCAAGAATTTGCTGAGATAAAAGAAAAGAAATCCCCCCCCCCCCTTATTGCACTTCAGTGGTTGTCAAAGTAAATTAAACACATATTTCATTCAACACAGACACATCCTAACCAAAAGGTACACAATCTTACATTGACATCAAAATTGTAAACCCTCAGTACTACTCATTACTGTGCATTAAGTAAACATTTGACAACCAGTAGTTTTGCAGGTATTGTGATCTCATCAGTCGTGGTTAAAGCCCACTCACAGTCTGTCTTGACTGCTGACGCTGACAGAGATACTTTGGGCCTGATTTTACATGTGCAAAAACGGGCACCAACTTGTCTTTTGTCATCATGACAGAACTCGGCTTTTACGCAGTTACTGTCTTCCCCAAAATTACTGGGCCATCAATGTATTTTCTATAACTCAGTCAAATGTTTGTTTCTTTTGCACTAACACTTTCAGTTCCGCCCCTTTAAAATATTTCTCTAACAGTGCTCTCCCAAATGACATGTGGTGAAAACCATCAGCGTGTGTAGGGCAGGTGCAAAAACCATCTTTTAAATACAGCGATCCCTGCCACGTTTACAACTGTTGCTAACAATAGTTTTTTTTTTTCTGTAATTTAGCACCCACTATTTGGAATATGCCACGTTTACAACTGTTGCTAACAATAGGTTTTTTTTCTGTAATTTAGCACCCACTATTTGGAATCTTTGTAAAAGATCTCAATCTCAGTGGATCACATGCAACACACCCACCAACAGCATGTACAATCTGCTAGAGTGAACAAGCAATTTTGTGCCTGCTTTTTGGTATCTGAGTAAATCAGGCCATCTACTGTATGTTGGCAGTACCTCAACTTTTTTGCGGCATACTGAACAAATGGTAATATGTTGATAGATCCGCATAAAAACAAACAAACAAAACAAAAAAAAAGAACCAAAATTCTGCTAAATTTCCAGGCTTAGTTCATCACGCAAAAAATGCACAAATGTCGGACCAGGAGGAAATGCGTGTGCAGCGCACAGCTGGTCCCCATCACCGGAGCTGCAGCACGTGCACACAGCAGCTCGGGGCTTGTTTCTCCTGACCGCTCCTCTTCGCCGTTGGCCCTGCTGCCCACCGGCCGCCCGCTGGTAGCCAGTAGTGGCGACCCTGGACATACTGGCCCTTCCTGCAGATTACCGAAGGTGCTGCACCGGCCTGGAACCTGTGGTGCCAGTGGTCGCCTTTCGCGGGATCGGCCACCCTGCTCAGACGCGCCGACAGGCCGCCTCGGGCTGCCGAGCAGCTGACTTAGAACAGGGTTGGATGTCTAATTCCAACAGCGAGCCAACAAGTTAAACTTGTACTAAAACAGTGAGTCAACACACAAATGCAAATGCCCAGCTAATATTTAGCTCATTGTTTACCTACCAGGAGTATGCATACCCCCAAGGGTACATGAACACATTGCAGGGGGTGTGAAAACATTTAAGAATTTATTTACAAGATCAATAACCTGTGGCAGAGCCCCATTTCATCTCAATCCTGTTGTGGCCGATTTTCTAGTCGTGTTATCACGTCGTAGCCCGTGTAGTGTGACATACTCAACAATTGGTCGTTTGTTGTATCGGACATTTCTCGGCCACGACGCAAAAAGTCTGGCGTGTCAGATATTTTGTTTATCTTGCCGCATAGTGTGCCATGTCCTATGTAGTCCTGCGAGTGTTTCCTCGGCATTGACGAATAAAGAGATGGAGCTCACTTTTCTGCCCAAGATATCTGCTGTACACAAGTGCGGGTTCATGTTGGAGCTTGGCTCCGTAGGGACAATGAGCATGCACCATGCGCTCATTGTAATACCAAAGACGGATGAGTTGCGTTGATTTCTTTTGGTGATGTACATGTCACGTTAAAAACGACCCCTCCATCCGTCTCTGCAAATATTTGTATTCTGCTGATGTGTTCCACTGTATATGAACCAACCGGGAACGATAAAAAAAATTGTGACGTTTGAGATTGGCATTACTGCTCCACCTGCCCAATAGTTGGAGACATCTGCTACATGTCGTATAAACTCAGCCACGTTATCATTTCATTGGAACGTTGAAAGCAATTCGAATGAATTCACTATTAGCCTACATTTTAATTTTTCCGACATACCTTTTTCTCCAACAAATGGCAAAGACCATGTGAAGACATCCATAAAGTTGGGTAACCAGTAAGGGTGGGGTGAGCAGTTGAACTGTCGAATATTCATCACGTTGTTCTCATATTTTAATACAGCAGCTAGAGCAAAAAGAAAATTAAGTCTGAAGATTAAAACTTGAAGGTGAGCGAGAAAACTAACTGCTAATTTCAAAGAAACAAACACAAACCTTTGTTGTTGTACACATCAAGATAATTTGGAGCTGAAAAGATTGTAATTAACGAAGGGAAGCCCGTAGTCTGACTTTTTCTGTACATCCGATATCTATTGGGGCACAAAACAAAAACACTCAGACATATTCAATATTAGGGCTGCAGCTATCAAATATTTTGCTATTCAGATATTCGACTGAAAACTCAAATCGAACAATCGGGTATTTAGATGAAGAGACACGAGAAGCACAGGAGCAGTTTTGCTGGCTTAAACACACTTTGTCTGGTTTGTTACAAAGTGACCAGTCAGAACGGCAACTGTGTCAGGCTGTCAGCATCAAAGTGTGAACAGTCATTTAGGTCTATTAAACTTGAGCACTGCTATCACTACACAATACAGCGTCAGCGTAATTTAGTCATTTTATTTAGCGCTTGTAATGAGCAATTAAACATTATTTCAGGACCACACTGTATTGTTCTCGTCGGAAGCAACAGTTTGAGATGGCGATAAACGACCACCCCCAAACACAGTCTGGAAAATTAATCAAGTCAGCCGTTACCCCGCGACACATTGCTGTGAACAATTTCAAAAGAAAAACATACTTAGGCATTGATATCCATATTTTATTTGGGAACTAAGATTTATTTTGAGGTTGGGCTTCTAACCGTGTTGGCGACGTATTATTGTCATGTATAGCATGAACAATTGGCGCTGCGGTTACTTCTCCTTCCTGACAGTGTACACGTAAATAAGCAGATACTCGAGGCAGAAAAATGCCTTTACCTCTTTACCGAATCGAGTGATCATGAATTACTTGAGGAACCATTGCAATATATTATGGTGAATAGATCAGAAAGCAGAAAAACTACTTACCCTGCATCTTGGGCTTCATGGGCTCTTATTACTGACAGCAAGTTATTATTTACCAAAAAGTCACACACGGCTGAGTAACTGCAAAGAAATAAACAAAGAGAAGTTGACTTCTTGTGACAAATGAAGGAGATATGAAATGTTCATGGTGAAATGCAAGTCAATTATGCACACACTGGTTAGCCACCAGACAACAGAAATGCAACAGATTTCTGGAATTCTTAAAAAAATATTACTTTAGCGATTACTTGGCACTGAATAGAACAATTTGATTTCCACGGACTCTCATTGCTATTAGGAGGACTAACTACCAAGGGGGTTTAATTTAATACCTGAAAAAGTAGGAGCAGCCTCTGACAGAATTATGGTTGAAGTGTTCAGTTGTCTTTTCACTGCCATAGTCTTCACCAGGGTCAGCCCAAATCAGGTCGCACATCGGCCCAAACGCTGGCGGCTCTTTAAATCTATCTAACTGTTAGCAAAGACAAGTTTACACGCATTATATGTTTTGCTTTCATGACAGTGTGAGACCAATGTGTTCTTTCAAATATGTCACTTACTTTCCTTATGTCGTCAAGGCAGTTAATTTCTGGTGAGAGTCCACCATGTACACACAAGAACTGTTGGTTAAGCAGGGCGGCCAGGGGCAGGCAGTCAAAGGCCTCCATACAGGCGTCATAGACCCTTTCTGAGTACTTAATTTTACCTGTAACAAATATTGCACAACAAAATTGTATGGTTAAATAATTTTTACACTATGTAGCAAGTTGCACTGTGCAATTCGGGGCAAAGGCTTTACTCATACAGTTCCATTAATGCAATCGTTCCCCAACCATACGGCCCCGGTACCGGTCCGAGGCCCATTTTCGTACGGGGCCACAGAGAGACCGCCCCTCACCTCCCCTCAATTGTATTTATTTATTTATTGCAGAGCCTCTGATCAATCCCCAACCCCGTTGATTACCTTACGAAGGGCAATAGGAGGAGGGCTGGGTGACTAAATGATTGAGAATTTTGATACTATGGGACCAGCTGCAAGCTGGGAGCACATTTCCTCCATCAGATGAGGTGTAATTAGAGTCCGATTTCCTTTTAACTCTGGTTGAAGTTGAAGCAAACAGAATCCGGGCGGCACGCTGAGCAACTGGTTAGCCCGTCCGCCTCACAGTGCAGCGGTCATGGGTTCGATTCCGGGCTACGGTCTACCTTTGTGGAGTTTGTATGTTCTCCCTGTGTTTGCGTGGGTTTTCTCATGGTACTCCCATTTCCTCACACATTCCAAAAACATGCACGGTATGATAATTGATCACTCCAAAATTGTTTGCCGTAGGCGATAGACATGATAGCGACATGACATGACAGAAACATTGTCGTTTTCACAATATATATCATCATATTGCCCAGCTTTAGTTAGAAGGGCCGAAAAATATGGTCTAAATACATTCATTTGTCTTATAGGTGTGGCTTACGCTCCATTAAAGACAAATGCACATGAATTAATATGAAATACAGTTTATTTACTTCAGTTAGTTGTTGAACTTAGGAATTTGACTTGCAGCGCAAGCGTTCACTATGATAAAATGCTATCAAATCCGTAAACTAAAGCTAGCAAGTTATACGTTTACAACAATAATGCAAACAAAGCTTCATCAAATTCGATCAATTGTTCAGCCAATTCCAACTACATCATTCAAAACAAATAGCCCATTGCCGAGTATTTTTTTAAGCGTTACACAGGGCATCTAAAAATGGATGTGCATAAAGATGCAGTTTGTGTGCCTGGAGATGATGTGGAATGTGGGTGGAGGTGTTGTCCCATTAAGTAACAAAGACACACACCAATACAAATAACCATACAAACAGGGTTCAACTGAAATTGTGTTCAACTGCGTGAAAAGGTTCAACCAGCATGCCTGACAGTGCTCAAAGCTCTGACATTTTATCACCATGACAATAAAAAAGGCTCCTGATGTGAGTAATCTCTTATGCAGATGAAATGTCACGTTGCTCTGACCGACATTTTCTGACAAAGATGGGCGGGGACACCAGGCAGTTTTTTTTTTTAGCTGGGGTTTTCCACTTCGCAACCACCACCATGTTTGAAAAACAGTAGCTATTAAACTCATATTTAAATATTTGGAAGGATGCAGCTCCAAATTGCTAACTGCTGGAACAATATTCACTCCCCTGCAAAAGTATATCGCCAATCCTTGAATTTTTGCTGTACAATTGAAAAAAAAATTGGGTTGACATCAAAAGATCAACATCGTGCTCTGAAAAAAAAACATACATCAATTTTTTTTTCCCCCCAGAAGGAAAAAAAACGTTATAACTTGCAAAATAACTATGAAGGAAACCCAGATGTGTTTTTAAAAGCATGTGCTCCAGAGACTCCCCAGCAGAGTATTGTTAGCAGGCTGCTTTAAGTCTCAGCTTAGCACATTACATTCACCAAAGCTTTGTCAAGGGAAATCGCGGACCATTGTGTTAGCCTATTATCGCTTGTTATAAAATTTACCACAGAACCAAGGGAGCGTGGTTCCGCATGAGTGTTGTCAGGGGACAGCACCTGCCCTCACTTCATAGTTCTGGTTCTCGCTGATGTTCAGCCACGTATTTTACAATACTCTTCTTATCTTATGTCCAAGGTGTATCCATGAACGGTTAAACAAGTTCCACGGCCCTCAAATGACACTTAAAACTGGCTTCTACACTTCACATTTGCACTGAAACCCCCCGACCTGAAAAGCTTTGTGCCCACAACCTATAGATGCACGGAAAGTTTTTTTTTTTGAGTTTGAGTGGGGTTTTTTAAAGTCAAAAATTACTCTATTCATGAGAAAAGCCTCTGATGTTATCTGAACTTAATAAAATAAACATTTAACAATTAGCAACTGTTATTCTGAGATTTATTTCAGTTCATTAATCAACACAAATACTATTAATTTGATCAAAAATATGGACTAAATGCTTTAATATTGATTACATGAATTATGCCAGTTAGGAATACATTCTAATGCCTTGTTTAAAAGGTAAATGATCGCTTTGTTCTTTAAATAAATAGTAACGAATGTACAGTATTCATACTGACTATTTTGATACATATGCAATATCCTAGCAAGTTAAAATTTCCCAGTCTATTTTCACTCTTCCTTCTCATCTTCTGCATGTCTCTCCTTCCTTCTTTGTCACTTATTGTTACAACACAAGGGAAGAAGGCAAGAGTACTGTACCTTTAGAACAGATAAATATTGAAGACACATAACTTGAATGAATAATCTTTTATAAAATCATGAACATGTCTGTCAAAAGGCAAGCTAGGAAATTATGCATGGTCGTAAATCTTCTGTTCTTGAAGATCTGATTGAATTTGAGCTGCCTATTTTTTTTTTTCTTAGATGTGTACAGTCTGGTGACATTTGTGCTCCCCTTTGTCCTCAGAGGCGGGTATTATATGAGTCCCAGTCCTCTGAGTGGCACAGTTTATATTGTTCCATCCACGTTGTACCTTATAGACGGAAGAGGCAAGACAGTCAGGTTTTTGTGGGTTTTTTTTTTTTTTAATTCCCCACAGAAAAGAACTGTCAGATCTGAGTGGAGTACATTCGGTATTATTAGCTTGTAATATCTGAAAATACACGGCACGAAAGCAATCATCTAAAAATGAATACCGGTAAATAAAATACCTAATTGCTCGCAAGTCACCCACTGTAGGATCATTTGTGGGTTTTTTTCCCCCGCCATCTAATTTACCTACAGCGTTTGACTTGAATGAAGTCCATGAAATAAATGTACATTGAAACTGAAACATTATTTTGTGAATGCAAACACTTTGTTTTTCTTCTTTCTACCCACAATTTTGCTGCTGTAGACTGTAAATTTCCCCAGTGTGGGACAAATAAAGGATATCTTATCTTAAGTCCATGAAAAAAAAGTGTTGTCCAAGTACTTCACCTGCTAAAGCCTGGGATTAGCGTGAGCAACTCGGATAATTGCAGGGTACTCAGCTGGAACATGTATGTCTCTGTGCCTCAAGGTTCCTCTCTATCACACTACTGTACGCACAAAAGCCACACTCCATTTGTGCACGGCCTCTTTCAAGATCCTTCTATGTCACCGTTCACTGCTTCTCAGTCACAAACCTGAGGAGGGCATTCCTCAAGATGAGTTTTCGGTTCTGAAAGCAACATCCATCGCTCCAGATAATGTACACATCATAAGATAAGTGTGCTTCAAGATGAGTAACAATGCATGTCGCAAACTCATGGGCAGAAAGACCAGCTTCACCCTCATGCCACAGGTAACTTGTTGCATCACGTGATATCAAGTCATAGATAGTAAAGATGTGCACACTGAGCTTGGTCTTGGAATAAAGAGCAGAGGCTTGCAGCTTGGGATCCATGCACAAAAACAAGGTCTTTTCACTTCTTTGTCGTTCTGTTTAGTGGTGCATGCTTTTTTTTAAGGCTCCTCCAAATGTTCCCAGCCTTGAATGCGCAACAGAAAACACACCGGTGTTTTTTCGGGTGAAAAAGAGTCATATTTCGTTGGTGAAAACGACTCAACTTGACAGAGGCTGGAAATAGACATGTTTTTTTTGTTTTTTTTTAATTTTCCCATAGGACAGCGAGACAGAGAATAAGAGGTCAATTATTCTGGTTTTATTTGAAGGTATTTAAAATCAGCTCTAACTTTTGACAACACATTTTAGGTGAGCAAACAGAGAGACGTCAAATGGTTTAAATATGATAAATGACAAACTGGAATGCACTTAGACAGCGCTTTATCTACAAGATTTGGTGCCCAAAGCAATTGACAAAGCCTCACATTCATGCACAAATTCTTACGATAATGGGTGACTGGCTGCTGCCATGCAAGGCACTGAGAGCAAATTAGGGTTCAATGTCTTGCCCAGGGACACTCTGACAGCGGACAGTTATGACAGAGACTCAAACCAGCGTTCCTTCAACCATTGGATGACCCGCTCTATCTACCAACTGAGCCACAGCCGCCAATATGAGTTAATGTGTAGTTCTGAATCCTTTTCTTGCAGTAACAGCATCAAGCCTGTGACTCACCGAGGTCACCACGCTACTCTACTTTTGTGATACTATTCCAGGCTTTCACCACAACCTCTTTCAGTTGCTATTTTGTTTGTGAGGGATTTCCCCCTTCAGTCTCCTTTACAGCAGGTAAAACGCATGCCGTGTAGCATTTAACTCTAGTGGCCAGTCTAAAACCTTTCATTGATAGCTTTTGAAGGAATTCTTTGTTGTTTGGGGGAGATTATCTTGCTGTGAGATGAGGGATCTCTTAATCAATTTACTTGCATCTCTCATTAAACTGGCAGTCAAAATGCTTCTTTAGACTTTTTAAAGCTCAGAGTTTTTGCTGTTGCTGCTATGCGTTACATGATCAGTGAAGTTTGGTGAATCCGTCCCAGAGGATACCCTGCAAGCCTCAGCCATAACATTACTTCTACTTTCTTTCACAGCTGAGCTTGTGCTTTCTTCACGCGTTGTCGACGCCGACTGGCTATCGCTGCCGCCGCCGCCACCGGAGTGGGCTGACTTGAAATAATGACAGAATGAAGACTGAAGTGCATACATGTGTGTTAGTCAGCAAAATTGAAATTCTTCAAAGACAGAAAAAAACAGTTTGTGAATTAAGCATGCGAAATACAGTCGCAGCTATCATGAAGAGTGGTGAGCTCAAGCCCCTCGGTTATCACAGCTTTGACAACAGTTATCTATAAATCAAATAAAAATAGTGAAGATGATTTTGGTACTCATAGACTATCACTACACTACTACTGACTACACATTGAAACAGTGGCAAATGTGAATCAACGTTTTACACTGCCAAAAAGAAAGGCTCATACCACTGTCCTCCAGCTATTAACTTTCCGGAGCTCTTATTGGGACATTTCAGATGAACCCTTACATGACGTAACGGTAAACTATTCTGAACACTTCAGCATGCTGCCTTAGCATCTGGAAAATGTAACTTCAGCAATCACTGTGGAAAAGTACAGAGACTTAGCATAATTCTGCCTTTAAGTCAACATATTTTGTCAGCATATTTCATGCATATTTCAACAGGAAAGACAATTTAATTCAGCACACATTTAAATGACTTATTCTGAGAAGATACAGGAGGGTGGTTAACCAACCTGCCTCCAGTCCGGACCTGTCCTCAATGTAAATTTTCTTGTGGCAATGCAGATTATGACAATAAAGCCCATCATGTTGATAAAAATAACACTTTGAAAGACGAGCAGCATTCATGCCTGAAACCTGTCATTACTTGGCATCTACAGACGCTAGAAATAGTGAAGTTTTGATGCATTGTGTACATGAGGATTCCTAACTTCAACTTATTAAGGGCGGTCTCGGTGCTGTGGTGTGGTCGAATACAGACTGCATTAAAGGGTTTTTCATCACAAAACATATTGTTGAAGCATTCAGGTTAGGCTTTTTTAGAAATTCTTTTCTTACTGCAGTTTTTAACTCCTGGGGAAAGTGCCCAGATTGAAGAGAATTATTCACTGTGAGTAAATACATTTGGAGCTGTGCGATTAAAACATTTTTAAAAAAATTGTGAAGGCAGCATATCAAGATGCTGTGAATGCACATGACCAAATGTTAAATGTTTCAGTACTTTTTGCACAAGTTGCTGTTCTCAAATCCTCCATTAAGCACCTCTAGATGGTCCAGAATGCCGCTGCTCGCCTCTTGACTGGTACTCGAAAGAGGGAGCACATAACTCCTACTCTGGCATCCCTTCACTGGCTCCCTATACATTTTAGAGTTACTTTCAAGATCTTATTATTTGTTTTCAAATCTCTAAATGACCTCGCGCCACCTTACCTCTCTGAGCTCATCCGCCCCTACGCACCTGCCCGGCACCTCAGGTCTGCGGACCAGACATTATTGGAAGTACCAAGAACTAAACTGAGGCTCAGAGGGGATTGAGCCTTTTCCGTTGCTGGTCCCTCTCTCTGGAATGACCTCCCACTGAACATTCGGCAAGCCTCCTCGCTGCCCATCTTTAAAACCTGCCTCAAAACTCACTTGTATTCTTTGGCATTTGACTCAGCATGACCCAAATTGTGATCTTAGTTATACTGTTTGGTGCTCTCTACTGTCTTTGTTACTGATTTGTTGCTTTACTGTTGTATATGTTAGTTGCTCCATGTACAGCACTTTGTGTGCAGTGATGGCTGTTTGAAAGTGCTCTATAAATACAGTTGAGTTGAGTTGAGTCCTCATCATGCCGTTCACATTTTGACATTATGAGACCAAGAGGACACCTCACCAGACGACCCGCACAGGTACCTGACCACACCACCAGTCCCAGGTGTCATCATTTTGCATGGGCCAGGGAGCATTTACGCTGGATGAGAGACCAGTGGGCCTCAGTGCTGCTCCGTGATGAAAGTCACTGAGCAGCTGTGACGGCCGCCAACGATGTTGGAGATCTCAAGGAGAGCGCTATGCATCAGCTACTGCTGTCACCAGACAAGCCTTTGGTGGTGGTGGTTACAATGTGGGCAGGTGTGTCCAGTGGGTATAGAACTGCCCTCCACTTTGTTAACGGCCCAGACTACCTGAATAACATTATTCATCCAGTGATCGTGCCCCTACATGAACAACACAGGCCTAATGTCATTTACATGGACAACAATACTCCAGCTCATTGCATCCTCGGGGAACGGCTGTTGGAGCCTAGTGTACCTCAAATGGAATGGCCCGCACTTTCTCCAAATCTGAATTCTATTGAAAACCCCTGGGATCAGATGAGTCGCCGTGTAGAGGATCGAAACTCTGCAACCCAGAATCTGGGGGCTGCCGTTCAAGAAGAGTGGGATATTATGCCTCAGCATTAAGCTATAAGTCGACATGTAAACAGCCTGAGATGTCCTTATCAAGCTGTAATTGATGCTCAAGGGCACATGATGAGTTATTGAGACATTAATCTTTTTTTGTTGTGGTGTATCCACCATTGTTGTTAACTTTGGTTTCAATGAATTGTTTGGGATGAGCAAATCACCAGTGTATTCTTCTATTTAAATGTCCAACTTTCATGATATATCACTGTAGGGTGAACTTTAAACATTTTCCATAAATTACGCCTGAAAGCCAAATATCCCTAACTTTTTGTGAGTACACACAGATGCACACGCACACGCGCACACACACACACACACACACACGCACACACGCACACACACACACACACACACACACACACACACACACACACACACACACACACACACACACACTCCCAGGAGAGACCAGCAGAAAGACAAAAAAAAAGGATCTTATCAGCAGAAAAAATGCAAGCAAAAGCAGAGCAATGCAGCAAGTGTCCACACACAACGCAAGCAAAGCAGGACTTAAGCACCAAGATGACAAATTATGCATGTCAATAATAATATGGTAATAAAAACAGCCTAGTCTTATAGAGTGCCTTTCAAAGGAACCAAAGACTTTATTGAATAGAAGCTGACGCTTATCACCCTGTTTGCTCGTGTTAGCCGATGCCAACACAGCAGATCTGCAAACAGTTTGGCTTTGGCATGATAGTGATTTAGTGTAGTTAAGTGGCCGTCGCTTTAAAATGATGTCATTTTGCCCAGCCTAGTTGCTAAATCTTGGGCATTCAAACTGGATGTGGGGGAGTATGTAGATTAGCCAGATTTTTATAGGTGGGTAGGTGTTCCAGAGACCTATTACACTTTTTGAATGAAAGCAACTAAAGTTAATTTGCCATAATGTATTCATTAACCTGTGACAGCAGTAACAAAAAGGGAGTGTGAGTGCATTGGACTGGCCACCATATAGCTGAAAGACCTGCACTTACATTCCTGCTTGAAGGTGAAGTACTCTGTGAGGTGCCGACACTCATGGTTCCCTCGCAGGAGGAAGAGTGTCGTGGGGTGGTTGATCTTGAGGGACCAGAGGTAGAGAACACACTGCGAGGACAGACAAAATGACAGCAGAAAAAAAAAGGAAATTTATAGTTCTTGACTTATGATGCACAACACGTACAGTACACCCTCTTAGCTCATTATACTAAGAGACAAAACAAAGGAAACATTTGCAGGAGAAGAAAAGTATACTTTTCAACTGGACAAACCTTGTACATATACAAAGCGACATCAGATTAATCTTTTTTTATTTACAGATCATGGTGCTACAGTAAATCATGAATATAACTCTCATTTAAACAACATTTGTAACTGACAAGGTTTTGATCTTAAACTTGATTTTGTCGACATACAGGTAATTTCAGTCAAATTCTGTTCTTTTCTTCCCTCTCTTTATGTTTTTTTTCCAGTTGTGGATCCATTTATCAATTGTAAAGCCTACTTCTAACTTTAGGCATGGATGTGGCATCAGGAACGTGGAGCCATGATTCACAGCGTTCTAAAACTTTTGTTCCTATTGCTTTCAAGGAGACTAGGTATTGAGAGTGCAACACGCACGCTCACCAGTGCACGTGTTTCTAAGACATTAATGGACAAAGAGCGTTAAACGCATAGAAAAAATAACTTGTATATTATATCAGAATTAATTTTGTATATGTAGCTAATTGAAATGGGTTTGTAAAAAAAACAAAAACATGGAATTTTGTAGCTGTACAAATGTTAACTTGCTCATGTGAAAAATGCAAACCAAATTCCAATGAAGTTGGGACGCTGTGTTAATCAAAAATAGAATACAATGATTTGCAAACCATGTTCAATCTATATTCAATTGAATATACGACAAAGACAAGATATTAAATGTATGATGCTAGCTTAAATGTATAAAGCTACAGAAGTTTGTGGTGTGATTAAATGACAAAGTCAGCGAAAGAGCTGAGTGTAAGTTTCGAGCTACTAAGCTACGAACCTACTAAAGGGGTGTTCACATGGCACACATTTGATCCGGCGCTGCACCGATGTATTTTGTTGCGATATAGTTTAAACCGGAGCAAATTTTGTGGAGCGTTCACACGTACAAAGCCGCTGAGCGTGGCAGCACCGGCATAGCGTCGGTGCAGCTCCACTTGCGTTCACACGGCAGTTTCAGCAGCAGAGAAAAACGACAGAAAACAAATGAGTTGTCGTGTTGGTTCTTTTTTAAACGTATACACAACTCAAGCAACTACTGTACAGGTACGTCCTTCTCCTTCTCGGTCTCCGTGCCTTCTGCTCGAGAGTGACCGCCCCCCGATAACGTAAATCAACGATGACTTCAATGACACTCAGAAAAGCAAAAATGTAATGCGCCAAACAGAAAAATCAAGAGAGGAAATCACGAAATAAATTCTATGGGGCACGGGGGGGTTGTGAACACACAACAAAGGAACAAACTACACAAACAACTCCGAGACAGTCCAGTCTCCTACAAAAGGAAAGATGACGTTTGGAGACTATCCGTGTGAACGCTCAACTGGCGCAGCGCCGGTGCTGTGTCGGACCAAATGTTGCCGTGTGAACATCCCTTAAGCTAGTTGGGATATTTTGTCAATTTCCGAACAGGCCAGTGTCTCCCGTTATTATTGCAAGATTAGCTCTAATTAATATTAGCTCACTCGTAAACAAACCACTATTGATTAATGACATCATTATAACCAAAGATCTTGTCTTATTTCTCCCCAGCGCAATATGACTAACGGAAGGTTGCCAAAACACCACTATGAATGAGAATTTTAGTTTCCTGAACAAATGTCGCAGTGGCAAAAGAGGAGGCGGAATCGCTGCCATTTTAAAATAATTATTTCAGCGTTAAAAAAAATGGTGTTGGGTGATTTTAAAATCTCAATCTTTTAGTAAAAGGTGGTCCAAAGATTACTGTTGTAGTCATTTATAGACAAAGAGGCGCATTTATGGAGGAATTTGAAGAAATGCTGTCAGTAATCTGTTCCGACTATGATTACCTGGTCATAACTGGAGATTTTAACATTCATGTCGACAACAATTTGGATAAAAATACCAAAGAATTGTATACTATACTTGCTACTTTTGGTCTCTCGCTACATGTAAAACTTCTAACACATAGTCAGGGTCACGTTCTTCACCTCATTATCGTTAAAGATGTTGATATCTCATCTCTCGATGTTAAAGATCAGGCTATTTCTATGTGTTCTTTGCGGTAGAAATAATCCCAAAAGTTCAGACAACCAATCTATTAAAAAACAATATAAATGAGGACACAATCAATATGTTTATGAAAATGATGGCTGTTTCACCAAATGTGAATGTAGAGACTGTCAATCAACTTCTGGATTGTCATGTTCTGTCTACATTATCTTGACTGTGTTTCAGCTCCACCTGGAGTGAAGGGCGTTGCCCTCCAGCAGGCGTATTTGTGTGGCATTTCCAATCAAGCCTTGCCATGTGTTTAAGGACTGCCAAAATGCCTGGTCATTGTCGGATTATTGACCTTGCTTGCTGTTGTGCTTCAAGTGTTATTTTCTAGACCTCTCTATTACTATTCATAGTCGCTCTCGTTTTGTCCAGAGATCCTTGTTTGTAAGTATTTTTGTTATTGCTCTTGATGATTGTTTTCATTTTATTGGACTTTTGATATTTCATTTGTGTATTCTCTGTGTTCTATTGAACCTTGCCTTTGCAAGCGCTTATTGTTTCATGCATTGTTTTTCCTGGCTCCTTGTGACCAATGATTTCGGTTTATACTTGGTCGGTGCAATTTTCTGCAATAAATATTTAAATTATCACACTTTGTCTGAGCCTGCATTTTTGGAATCCAAAAACATTATTGGGTTCTGAACCTGAAGGGATAAATTCACCTGGAAACATTTCAAATGTCCTGGATGTTGGTGCTCCTCTTAAAACTAAGACCATTTCATGTCGACCTAAAACACATTGGAGGTGCGCTATGGGCGTAACGACTTTGAAATTTAAGTGGAGAAAAATTCGACTTGAAGTTAAAAAAAATACATTTAGCTTTCAATGCGTTTTTTTTAAAACCTGATTATTTAATTCATGGATTGAATAATTGATTCTAAAATTATTTGATCATGATAATCCTAACGTTGACAATGCTACCTTGCCAAACCAAAAACCCTTCCCTCAGCAGTTGTACAACACATTCTGTGAAGGTCATCTCTAGTCCAAATAAATTGGCATTTTCTTCATTACAGTTCTCAATGGCTGTCACTTCCCACTTTTAAAGGGTACCCAAAGTCATCACATTTGTAAACACAGGGAGCAATGGTGAAGGGCTCTGTAGACTTGGCTTTGGCATCTGCCGCAGACAATAATAAAGACACAATAATTGTTCAATCGATGCGAGCCTGTTTCCTGACTACGGTCAAGGTGCCCGTACTGATGGTACACAACACAACTTCAGCAGGTTACTAAATAAGATAATGCAATTTTTGTTGATTATTCAGTGCAAATCAGACTAAATACAACTGCATTTAATACAGTAATTGGAATATGGTGCAGATGCGCAGACACAAGGATTATGATGCCAATTATGAATCAAAGAAAAATTAAATTGCCAGGTCGGGAAAGAAAATGTATTACTCATTCGCTCTGAAAGGCTTTCTTGCAAAGGTATAACACAACTTCAAGGGGCACTTTGTTACCTAGGCAACCACATCCTTGTATTCATCTCTACGTACATCAACCGCTCACTTTGCTCGAGAGCTATGTCGCCTTTGGTAAAAAGAACAATGTTCACTCCTAACAGAGAGTATTAATGAAGAGATTTAGATTATGCGAGCAAAAGAAATATCATGGTCAATGTGATTCATTTAATCTTTTGGATTACAACGACAGAAAAGAAAATGAGCAAGTACTACTATTGAGGTTAACAATGTATTGATCATTTTGTGAACTGAAAAATACGCAAGAACTGGTTTTAATGTTTGGCCGCAATTTTACACCTGAGATATAGTAGCAATACAATGTCATTGCTGGTTTGTGTTCTTGCCCAGTGCCCCCATTTAAATAACAAATTGACTTCATCCCACATGCGCTCGTGGGTGTGTTGATTTGAATGCAAGATCCGCTCAAGCACATTGTTGGTACTTTCCTCACTTGATGCTGCCTTCAGCACTTGCAACAATCAACCCCCCCCCCAAAAAATAATAATAAAAAAAAAAAAAAGAAATGAAGAAAAAAGAAAAAAAGAAAAGAAAAAAAAACCTCAAGACCGTGGTGCATCGAGAACAGCAATAAGAAACCGTCATTACTCTGTTCCACACAAGGATGAGCTGTAGCACATAAAATAACTGAAAAGCTTTGCAGAAAACATCTGGCAACAATGTCATAAAAGTAAGTTTTCCTCAAGGCCGTGGTGCATCGAGAACAGCAGTAAGAAACCGTCATTACTCTGTTCCACACAAGGATGAGCTGTAGCACATAAAATAACTGAAAAGCTTTGCAGAAAACATCTGGCAACAATGTCATAAAAGTAAGTTTTCCTCAAGGCCGTGGTGCATCGAGAACAGCAGTAAGAAACCGTCATTACTCTGTTCCACACAAGGATGAGCTGTAGCACATAAAATAACTGAAAAGCTTTGCAGAAAACATCTGGCAACAATGTCATAAAATTAAGTTTTTAAGTTACAATAATCATGACCAAAATTATAATGAAAATTTGTGTTACTCATCATACTGTATTACAAAAAAATTAAAACAAAAACCACAACAAAAATATAGCTGCAGCACCAAAAACAATGTACTTTATAACACATTCTGCGTTGAATACAAATTTTAAAAAAATATCACTAACCGTATGCACTTGACACTAAAATTGAAAAAAGAAAAACCAAAAACAAAGACATCCCAATATGTTCTCCAAGGTAAATAATGCTGTCATTGCTAATGTTGTGAGAGTGTTCAATGTCACAGGTGACCTCACTAGGGGAAAGCGTAACGAAGCAAAAATCACATGAACCGAAGTAAATAAATGTTAGCCTTCTATGGTTGTGTTACTAGCATTGTCGTAGCAA